CTCTCCCCGGACCCCGCATTCCCTACTATCCGCTCTCCCCGGACCCCGCATTCCCTATATCCGCTCTCCCCGGACCCCGCATTCCCTATATCCGCTCTCCACGGACCCCGCATTCACTATATCCGCTTTCCCCAGTCCCGACATTCACTATGCGGGATAGATACTGGGATTTATTTTCTTTTTATACTAGTAATGGCGGTGATCAGCGACTTATAGCAGGACTGCGGCGGGCATTCTGACACTGAGGGGGGGGGGAACTGACTAACTGCCACTGGCATCCCCATTGACACCAATACAGTGATTGGTGCTAATAAAAAGCCTTGACACTGTACTAATGGCATTGGGCAGGAAGGGGTTAACATAAGGGCCGATCAAAGGGTTACCTGTGTGCTGTGTTACTAGGGAGACATGCTGTGCAGAGATACAAAGCAGCATGTCCTTGCTGGCAGGAGAGAGACCTGTGTTTACATACTGACCTCTTTTCTCTCAGCTTTGCCCCGACGATCGCCGAGTGCTGGCTGGGAATCGGCGACTGACATCCCCAGCCGCCAATAGCGCATCGGGTAGGGCAGTGTGCGCGCCTCCTACCCAGAAATGCAAATGACATACATACATCAGTGGTTCATATAGTGAACTCGGTGTAGTTATCCCCCCTGAGGTCATCACAGAGGACAAGGGGGCGCTCTTTATGTCTGGAGGAAAAGAAATGTCATCTCCAAACACGGAAAGGTTTCTTCACAGTAAGAGCTGTGAGAATGTGGAATAGACTCCCTCCAGAGTTGGGTGTGGCCAGCTCAGTGGATTGCTGTAGGAAAGTCCTGGATTCTTTCTTGGATACACAGAATATATGGAACTGGAAAGTATAACAATTTATAGGGAAAGTTGATCCAGGGAATATCTGATTGCCTCTCGGGGGATCAGGAAGGAATATTTCCCCTCCAGGAGCAGATTGGATCGTGCTTTGCTGTTTTTTTTTGCCTTCCTCTGGATCAACTGTGGGTGTAGGATTATAACTTTTTTGTCTTTTTTCAGCCAGACTAACTATGTAACTATATACAGTTGTGTTCAAAATAATATCAGTGTGTTGAAAAAAGTAAATAAAGCTGAAAATCCTTCTAATAGCTTTTATTTCCATCCACACAAATGCATTGGGAACACGACACATTCTATTCCAAATCACAACATGAAGAAAAATACATCAAATTTGTGTTGTTCCTCTGAAAAAATGGAACAAAAGTGAATATTAGACTGTAGCAAACTTGCTCATCAGAGTTGGACGCGGAGTTCCCCTTTTCTATTAGAAGTATTCCTCAATCCTTTATTTCCTTCTCCCTCCCTTCCTGAGGGGCACAGGGACAGATGTGGTGTGTGCTGGTTATGGGTCAGCCGCAGGCTAAGGCATCCTTAGTCCGGTGCCGGGCAGTCTGTGAAAGTGTAGCTTTCCTCACCTACGTCATGATAAGGCCAGCATTCCTCAGAATTGGGAGCCCTGACCCCAAAACCTGTGTCGGCTCCCCCATCATACAACACATAAGGCAGCATCTTCCAGGAATTGGAAGAGATTGTAACCTCATAAAACCTAACAGCGAAGGTGACAGAATGAAATGAACATTCCTCAAGTCAGTTTGTCCCCTGTGTTTCATATCATGGATTATGAAGATATTGGTTTTAATTCAGAGTCCGCCCGAGATCCCTCCCTAAACAGAGCCAGTTTGGCCAGTTACTCAAAGGCACACCCCCCCCCCCCCCCCCCCCCCCGCTGGAGGACTTTAAAAAAGCACAGTAGGCCTGAGGGAAGCTAAAGAGATCTCCTAATTTTACCATCGTAATAGCAGGAGATCAAAGACCTTTCCGCTACGCAACTTGGATCTGCTTACCTCAAGGCTGAACATGGCAAGCAACCTAACCTTTTAACTCCTCCCTGTTATCTCTGTGCTGTGCTGTTTTCTATATATAAATATATATATATCTAGTTACATTTTCTTTGTAAATATTTTATTGCACCTGTTTGACTCTTTTAGTAATAAATCTTTCTTTCTGAAAGTGTTAAGCTGTTTCTAAGCGCTTACTTGCAATTCACGAATTCCTGCCTTTTGAAGAGACGCTCCTGTGTTTGTTTAATCCTCTGCCCAATCGGCCTGCGGTGACCGTATTGGACAGACGACTTTTCAACCATTACAGTGTATATTGGATAAAGAGAGTTTCCCCTTTCTCTGTACAAAAAGTGGTGGTGGCAGTGAAGGGTTAGTTGCGTGATTAACCCGACCCAGTAACAAGCGCATTCAGGCTGCCGGTGCGTCGATTGTGTTCCATTAGCTGGACAATCGTTGTGCAGGGTGCAGTTGGGTGTGGCATTGTTACGCGCGTCACATCACGGTTATAGATTGGCCGGTCGTTCGGTCACCAATTTGGTGAGAAGGTCTGGGGTCTGACGCCTCGGGCGTGACGTATTATTGTTGGTCACGGTCGAGCGATTGTCGCATATTGAGGGTGGCGATCGGGTGACCGTGACATAGACTGTTCAAAAAAATGGCCGTGTTTGTATTCTTCTTTACAAACTCCAACATTCACTATATAAACTGAGAAATGTTTGAAGATTTTGCTTTCCTTTGAATGACTTCATGAATATTTGGTTGTAGTCGCACTGTTTCTGAGAACTGCTGTACATCTGTGTTGCATGGAGTCCCCCAACTTCTGGCCCCTGTGATCAGGTATTCCAGCCCAGGATGATTGGACCACATTACACAGTTCTTCTCTATTTTTTTTTGGTTTGCCTCAGAAACGGCATTTTTGATGTCACCCCACAAGTTTTCTATTGGATGAAGATCTGGGGATTGGGCTGGCCACTCCATAACGTCCATCTTGTTGGTCTGGAACCAAGATGTTGCACGTTTACTGGTGTGTTTGGGGTCGTTGTCTTGTTGGAACACCCATTTCAAGGGCATTTCCTCTGCAGCATAAGGCAGCATGACCTCTTCAAGTATTCTGATGGATTCAAACTGATCCATGATCCCTGGTATGCGATAAATAGGCCCAACACCGTAGTATGAGAAACATCCCCATATCATGATGCTTGCACCACCATGCTTCACGGTCTTCACAGTGTACTGTGGCTTGAATTCAGTGTTTGGGGGTCGTCTGACAAACTGTCTCCGCCCACTAGACCCAAAAAGAAAAATCTTACTTTCATCAGTCCACAAAATGTTGCGCCATTTCTCTTTAGGCCGGTCAATGTGCTCTTTGGCAGATTGTAACCTCTTCAGCACACGTCTTTTTCCCAACAGTGGGACTTTGCGGGGACTTCTTGCAGATAGCTTGGCTTCACATAGGAGTCTTCTAATTGTAACAGTCCTCACAGAAAACGTCACACCTTCTTTCATCTTCCTGGAGCTGATTGTTGGCTGAGTCCTCACAGGGAACGTCACACCTTCTTTCATCTTCCTGGAGCTGATTGTTGGCTGAGTCCGCGCCATTTTGGCTATTCTTCTATCCATTCCAATGGTAGTTTTTCGCTTTCTTCCTCGTCTTTCAGGTTTTGGTTGCCATTTTAAAGCATTTGCCATCATTTTAGCTGAGCAGCCGATCATTTTCTGCACTTCTTTATATGTTTTCCCCTCCAATCAACTTTTTAATCAAGGTACGCTGTTCTTCTGAACAATGTCTGGAACGACCCATTTTCCTCAGAATTTCAGAGAGAAATGCACTGTAACCAGCATGTCCAACATTTGCTGCCTTCCTTCCTTCAATAAGGGCAATAATTGCCACATGTTTATCAAAGAATGAATGACATCACTAATAGAACTCCACACGGCTATTATTGTGAACACGCCCCTTTCAATGAGTGATTCAATGACACAGAATCAGCAGCATGCATGTCATGACTGTCGGGTCTGTTGGATTTCTATGACTCTACTACACCTGCTAGGAAATTATTTGCCATGTAGAAATATCATTTCCACCAAAACAGTGATTGATCCGGTTAGTGATGTCTGACGGCTAGTATTTTCAACACAACTGTGTGTGTATATATATATATACTGTATGTGTGTGTTGGTGATTTTGCGCAGCCGTGCCCCCCTGTAGCAGTACTTCTATAAGGCAGAAAGCAAATGGTTAAAAGTAGGAGGAATATAAATGCCTCTTATTGCCTCCGCTCTTCTCCTACAATTTGTTGGCGCAGTTCTATAACACTGGATACAAAGCATTGTACTGATTACTGGATTACTTTGATTTTTTATTTTTTTTTTCCTTATTTATTGATATTTTCAGTGAGGACCGACTGACTTCAATGAGTTTCCTTCTGTTCCACAGCCCGTGATGCGTTGTCCTTTAAAAACCCTTTGCTGAAGGTGCGTCCGATGTCACAGGCGACCAGAGCGTCCCGAGCCAAAGCCCGAGCGTCTGCTGGTAAGAGGGAATGGGAACATGGATCACATTCACTATATCCGCTCTCCCCGGACCCCGCATTCATTATATCCCTCTCCCCGGACCCCGCATTCACTATATCCACTCTCCCCGGACCCCGCATTCACTATGTCACCCCGCATTCACTATATCCCTCTCTCCCCGGACCCCGCATTCACTATATCCGCTCTCCCGGACCCCGCATTCACTATATCCGCTCTCCCGGACCCCGCATTCACTATATATCCGCTCTCCCCGGACCCCGCATTCACTATATCCCCCGCATTCACTATATTCCGCTCTCCCGGACCCCGCATTCACTATATCCGCTCTCCCCGGACCCCGCATTCACTGTATCCGCTCTCCCCGGACCCCGCATTCGCTATATCCGCTCCCCGGACCCCGCATTCACTATATCCGCTCTCCCCAGGACCCCGCATTCACTATATCCGCTCTCCCCGGACCCCGCATTCACTATATCCGCTCTCCCCGGACCCCGCATTCACTATATCCCCCGTATTCACTGTCCCCTCTCCCCAGACCCCGCATTCACTATATCCGCTCTCCCCGGACCCCACATTCACTATATCCGCTCTCCCCGGACCCCGCATTCACTATATCCGCTCTCCCCGGACCCCGCATTCACTATATCCGCTCTCCCCGGACCCCGCATTCACTATATCCGCTCTCCCCGGACCCCGCATTCACTGTATCCCCTCTCTCCCAGACCCGGGATTCACTATATCCCCTCTCCCCGGACCCCGCATTCACTATATCCGCTCTCCCCGGACCCTGCATTCACTATATCCGCTCTCCCCGGACCCCGCATTCACTATATCCCGCTCTCCCCGGACCCCGCATTCACTATATCCGCGTTCCCCGGACCCCGCATTCATATCCCCTCTCCCCGGACCCCGATTCACTATATCCGGTCTCCCCGGACCCCGCATTCACTGTATCCGCTCTCCCCAGACCCCGCATTCACTATATCCGCTCGCTCCCCGGACCCCGCATTCACTATATCCGCTCTCCCCGGACCCCGCATTCGCTATATCCACTATATTCCGCTCTCCCCGGACCCCGCATTCACTATATCCGCTCTCCCCGGACCCCACATTCACTATATCCGCTCTCCCGGACCCCGCATTCACTATATCCGCTCTCCCCGGACCCGCATTCACTATATCCGCTCTCCCCGGACCCCGCATTCACTATATCCGCTCTCCCCGGACCCCGCATTCACTATATCCGCTCTCCCCAGGACCGGGATTCACTACCCCCCCGCATTCACTATACCCGCTCTCCCCGGACCCTGCATTCACTATATCCGCTCTCCCCGGACCCCCGCACGCATCTCACCCCCGCATATATATCCGCTCTCCCCGGACCCCGCATTCACTATATCCCTCTCCCCGGACCCCGCATTCACTATATCCGCTCTCCCCGGACCCCGCATTCACTATATCCGTTCTCCCCGGACCCCGCGTTCACTATATCCGCTCCCGCTCCCCGCCGGGACCCCGCATTCACTATATCCGCTCTCCCCGGACCCCGCATTCACTATTTCTGCTCTCCCCTGCTTTAAACCTCTCCACAACTTTATCCCTGACTTGCCTGGTGTGTTCCTCGGCCTTCATGATGCTGATTGGTCACTAATGTTCTCTAACAAACCTCTGAGGGCTTCACAGAACAGCTGGATTTATACTGAGATCACATGACACACAGGGGGACTCTATGTACTGATTAGGTGACTTCTGAAGGCAGTTGGTTCCACTAGATTGTAGTTAGGGGTGTCAGAGTAAAGGGGGCTGAATACAAATGTCCCCCACACTTCTCACAGATTTATTGGTCACAAATGTTGGAAACCATTTCTCATTTTCCTTCCACTTTACAATTATGTGCCACTTTGTGTCAGTCCATCACATCCAATCCCTGTAGATACATTGTAACATGACAACATGGGGGACATTTCAGGGGGGGGAGGGGGGGAATACATTGTAACATGACAACATGGGGGATTTCAGGGGGGGAGGGGGGGGGTAGTGGGAATACATGTAACATGACAACATGGGGGACATTTCAGGGGGGAGGGGGGAATACATTGTAACATGACAACATGGGGGACATTTCAAGGGGGAGTGGGAATACATTGTAACATGACAACATGGGGGACATTTCAGGGGGGAGGGGAATACATTGTAACATGAACAACATTGGGGACATTTCAGGGGGGGATACATTGTAACATGACAACATGGGGGGACATTTCAGGGGGGAGGGGGAATTCATTGTAAACATGACAACATGGGGGACATTTCAGGGGGGAGGAGGGGGATAACATGTAACATACAACATGGGGGACATTTCAGGGGGGAGCGGGGGGAATACATTGTAACATGACAACATGGGGGACATTTCAGGGGGGGAGGGGAATACATTGTTACAACATGGGGGACATTTCAACGGGGGAGGGGAATACATTGTAACATGACAACATGGGGGACATTTCAGGGGGAAAGTGGGGATACAGGGGGAGGGGGAATACATTGTAACATGACAACATGGGGGGCATTTCAGGGGGGATACATTGTAACATGACAAACATGGGGGACATTTCAGGGGGAGGGGGATACATTGACAACATGGACAACATGGGGGACATTTTCAGGGGGGAGGGGGATACATTGTAACATGACAACATGGGGGACATTTCAGGGGGGGAGGGGAATACATTGTAACATGACAACATGGGGGACATTTCAGGGGGGGGGGGATACATTTGTAACATGACAACATGGGGGACATTTCAGGGGGGAGGGGGAATACATTGTAACATGACAACATGGGGGACATTTCAGGGGGGAGGGGAATACATTGTAACATGACAACATGGGGGACATTTCAGGGGGGAGGGGAATACATTGTAACATGACAACATGGGGGGGGAGGGGAATACATTGTAACATGACAACATGGGGGACATTTCAGGGGGGAGGGGGAATACATTGTAACATGACAACATGGGGGACATTTCAGGGGGGAAGGGGAATACATTGTAACATGACAACATTCAGGGGGGGAGGGGATACATTGTAACATGACAACATGGGGGACATTTCGGGGGGGGGGGGGAATACATTGTAACATGACAACATGGGGGACATTTCAGGGGGGGAGGGGGATACATTGTAACATGACAACATGGGGGACATTTCAGGGGGGGGGGAATACATTGTAACATGCAAAGGCAAACGCACGAGTCAGCCCCACATTGGTACGTAAACAGCGATCGCACCACACAATGTGAGGTATCGCCGTGAACGTCGGTTTGAGGGCAGTAAATCCTTGCACCAGACCGCCTCTGTGAATCTAAAGCGGTAACCTGCAAAAGCTTTTAAAGCGTCACCTATGGATGATAAAATGTACGTAGTTTGTCACTCTTGCACGGGCGTGCGCAATTTTGGAGCGTGGCAGGTTTGGTATCTATTTACTCGGCGTAACAACATCTTATACATTTGTAACAATTAAGTATCATATTGTGTTTTTATGCAATAAAATTCATTAACCCCTTGGCGCCGGCGCCTCCCGGCCCTTTAAGGGTTTCAGAAGCCGGGAGGCGGGGCGAGGTTTAGGGTCATGTGACGGCGGGACACTGGAGGCCGCACATTTGCGTTCAGCCGGCGTGAAGAGGTTAAAGTGTTTTTTTTTCCAAATACTATGTGACATAAAAATTGCAATCCTCACCAATTTATTCTCTAGGGCCTCTGCTATGAAAAAAAAACATAATGTTTGGGGATTTTAAGTAATTTTCTAGCAAAAAAATACAGATTTTTTTACATGTAAACAAAAAAGTATAAAATAAAGTAGTCCTGGTCTTGAAGTGGTTAGTTAGCTTGGACTTTTGTCTGGCGATCTCATTGGACCGTGTGTGTCCGGATGGTTTGAATGAAACGTTTTGGATTGCCGCTCAGCTCCCTGTATGTGAATCCATTAGTCTCTCACCGTGGATGTTGGCAGGGGGGTAAGACGTCATCACGGCTCTATGACTAAGGTGGGGGCAGGGTGAAACGCATCGGAGGAGGGCGTGGTCTGGACGGGCTGAGGTTGCTTTTACTCGGGTCTCTCTGGAGTGCAGCAATCGGGGTTCCCTTAGTGAAGTCAGAGACAGACAGGCGAGCAGCATTCTCAAGAAGGTCAGCTTCAGCAGCCTCCACGTTCCTGTCAGTACAGGTCTCCTCAGTGTGTGCCGCCTTCCATGAATTATTCCTTCTACTTTCTTCACACACCATCTATTAATACTTCATAATCCTTCTGATCCCTTTCAAATCCAAGTGTCCTGTAGATAATCCATCCAGGGAGTAGTAGTCGCACTTAACGCCTCTCGGTGGTTGTCAGGCGCAGGGCATGGAGATGCAATGACATCCAATGTCACAAGGAGCCGGCCGTCTATTTAAATCACGTTCCTCCCAGTCGGAGATTGCTGGCCTCACGCTGAGTTCCCTTCGGGATGCACGTTAGCAGAAGACGGCGTTTTACTTCTTCTTCCATCTTTCCAGGGCTGAAAAAAATGCAGCTTGAAAAATGTTTATCTTTTATCTACTTTCCTTTTTAACCTCTTGCAGGCCGCCTGCCACAGGTTTCCTGCAGCTGAGAAGCCCTGCTGCACCAGATCCTGTTACATGTTCAGGGGGAAAAGAATGATTTGATCCCCAGCAGATGGTGCAAGTTTGCCCACTTATAAGGAAATGAAGGGTCTATGATTTGTATCCTCGGTGTATATAAATGATGGAGATAGAATATCAAACTAAAATCCAGAAACAACGCAATTAAAAATGTTATAAATGGAGTTGCAGTTCGGTGAGTAAAATTAGTATTTGATCCCCTACCAACCAACAATGATTGTGGCTCCCACAGACTGGCGAAGAGCTCATGTGGTACACAGATCAGTCCTGTCACTGTAAGAAGGCGCTCCTAACGACAACACATTATGTGTATAAAAAGACCTGTCCACAGTCGCCTTCTGCCATTCAAACCTCACCACCGTGGGCATGACCAAAGAGCTGTCAGAGGACGTCAGGGACAAGATTGTAGACCTGCACAAGGCTGGAATGGGCTACAAGACCTTCGGCAAGAAGCTTGGTGAGGAGGAGGACAACTGTTGGAGCGATATTCGCAAATGAAAGAAATACAAACTAACCCTCAATCACCCTCCTCATTCTGGAGCTCCATGCAGGATTTCACCTCATGGGGTAAGGATGGTCATGAGAAAAGTGAGGGATCAGCCCAGAACTATACGGGAGGAGCTTATGAATGATCTCAAGGCAGTTGGGACCACAGTCACCAAACAAACCATTGGTCACACAATACGTCTCCATTGATTCAAATCCTGCAGCACCCGCAAGGTCCCTTCCTCAAGAAGGCACATGCACAGACCCATCTGAAGTTTGCCAACAAACATCTAAATGATTCAGAGAAGGATTGTGAGAAAAGTGTTGTGGTCAGATGAGACCAAAATTGAGCTCTTTGGCATTAACTTGACTCGCCATGTTTGGAGGAAGAGAAATGCTGACTATGACCCCCGGAACACCATCCCTACAGTCAAGCACTGAGGTGCAAACATTATGCTTTGGGGCTGTTTCTCTGCTAAGGGGACAGGAAGACTTTGCTGCATTGAGGGGCCAATGGACGGGGCAACGTATTTTATAATCTTGGATGAGAACCTTCTTCCCTTCCAGAACACTGAAGATGGGTCGTGGATGGGTCTTCCAGCATGACAATGACCCAAACCTTCTGGCAAAGTCAATAAAGGATGTGGCTCAAGAAGGATAGTCACATTAAGGTCATGGAGTGGCAATAAAGGAGTGGCTCAAGAAGAAGCACATTAAGGAGAGTCATGGAGTGGCCTTACCCGTCTCCAGACCTCAACATAGGGTCCTATAGAAGACATCTCTATCTGTGAGGGAAACTGAACTTCGAGTTGCCAAGGGAAGCCAAGAAACCTTAAGGATTTAGAGAAGATCTGTAAAGAAGAGTGAAACAAAATCCTCCTGAGAACAAGTATGCCGACCTCTGGGCCAACTTCAACTACAAGAAACGTCTCACCTCTGTGCTCGCCAACAAGGGTTCCTCCACCAACTACAAGAAACACGTCTCACCAATGAGATCTGTGCTCACCACCACAAGGGTTCCTCCACCAACTACAAGAGAACGTCTCACCTCTGTGCTCACCAACAACAACTACAATAAACGTTCCTCCTCTGTGCTCACCAACAAGGGTACAAGACTACAACGAACGTCTCACCTCTGTGCTCACCAACAAGGGTTCCTCCACCAACTACAAGGAACGTCTCACCTCTGTGCTCCACCTACAAGAAGTCTCACCTCTTCTTCCCAAGGGTTCCCACCAACTACAAGAGACGTCTCACCTCTGTGCTCACCAACAAGGGTTCCTCCACCAACTACAAGAAACGTCTCACCTCTGTGCTCACCAATAAAGGTTCCTCCACCAACTAC